GGTTGGGCGGCCCACTAGGGGTTGTGACCATGGAGCCTGGAGTCTGTATTGCCACGGCTAAAAGTTTGGCCTGCTGTTGGGTTTTTGCCTCTTCCATCAGGTCCCTTGAGTTGAAAACCTGGAATGCTGCATCCAATAACTGGTTAACGGGAGTCTGAGGCCCCAACCCCAGCTTTAGGAGTTTCTCTGTGTGTCTGGGGTGGCCTGGTTGAGAAAATGAGTGGCCGGGACAACGGTGCCTGCCTGGGGGCTGAGTCTAAGTTGGTGTATTTGCAGAGCGTTTCGGAGAGCTGCTCCAGGTATAAGGCTGGGTCTTGCTCCGTGGCCTGAGGTCCACAGCTTATTGAAATTGGCTGGCCATTGGATGGTGTGGGCCATGCCCTCTAGGAAGTAGGCTATCATGAGTCTTATGTGGTTTGGCCCTGGCTGGCCTGTTTGGTAGGTCCAGCTGGGGTCGGTTAGGGAGCATGTGGCTGCTCCAAGTGGGAGAACTGGATTTAGGGCATTTTGTTGGTCCCCGTAGGTCTGGGCTGCCCTGAAATGATGTTTTTCTCCTCCGGGGTGTTGAGCTGGGCAAAAAGAATTTTGACGTCCCTCCAAGTCAAATCCACTGAGAGGGCTAGGTCCTGGAACCCTTCCCTAAACCGTTCGGGGTCCTCCGAGTATTTGCCCAACTTTCTCCCCACGTACTCAGCTCAGACAGGGAGAGAGCGAATATACCCATGTAATGCCCCCCTGAACATTGAGGACGTCCCGTAGGGGGCATATGACATTTGAGCCATCAGGGGCTGTAGGAGTGGCAAGGGCAGCCTGGGGTGGTTTGTACTCCGGGGGGCCCATTGGTGGCCGGGGTGGTGTCCTAGTGGTGTGAGCCAGGATGGTTGAGGTGGGGTCCTCCCTCAAAGCCATAAAGGCCTGTACATAAGGGATTTCAGACCATTTACCCTTGTGTCTACAGGACAAGTCTAGCTGGAGGAGGGTGTTGTAGTTTAGGTGGCTATTGAGGGGCCAGAATTCCCCATCTTCCAGTGAGTACTGCGGCCAAGCCGTGTTACAGAAGAAAATGCACTTTTTTTCTTAAGGCTGTCCATGGGGAGACAATTCTATTTTGTTAGGAGATGACCCGGGTGTGACCTGGCCAGGATAGAGGGTTGGTTCCCCATTGAGTCTTGAGTCCTTCACCTGTGGGAGAAGGAGGGGAGTAATCTGCTTGAACCTCTCTGGACTGGGGCGTGTGAGTTTTCTGGGCTGCCAGGAGTCTAGTGTCCTAGTCTCCTCGCTGGAGGCTGTTGCTCTGCCAGGCGCCCGGAGCGTCCCCCGGTGCTTGTGCAGTAATCTTGGGACTCGAACCTGGGGCACCTTGGTCTAACCAAGGTGTGGGGGTGAGTGCCCATTAACAATAGCCTCCCCGGGACGCCCGACGTCTCAGGGTCCCTCTCATCTGACCCTCCACTGGGTCTCGGGAGGGTGTGGAGCACTGTCCCGCAGTCCAGAGCTTGTGGCCCCTGATGAGTCCCCTCGTCCCTGGGTGGATCCCCTGGGACCTCATTTGCTTGTGGTTTAAGGCCTGACCCGTGTGCCAGTCAGCCTCCTCTGTTGCTCTTATGAGGATCTGGTGGACACAAAGGGCGGCTAGACTTGGGGGTCCCTGGTCCTCCTCCGTCAGGACAGACCTATGTGTCCATAAATATTGTTTGACAAGAAGACTTTTGGTAGACAGCCAACTTGGGGGGTTACAAACGACTGGCCACTGGTGGTGTATACAACATAACACTGGGAAAGATGTCTGACTAGAATTGCCAAAAGGGCGAATTCCCCAACTGTGGGGTCTTTGACCTGCTGAAGCCAGGGGCATCTCCCGGGCCCCATCAGATAGCCTTGACACACAATGCAACCCTTGTCTCCTCAGAAAAACAGGCTCTGTGACACAGGGCAGGGAGTAGATCAGGGCCCAAGAGTCCCCAGAAATAGACACCAAATAAAGCATGATTTCAGATGTAAAACATGGCATCAGGGGACTGGTGATGACACGTGGTTTCTAGCAGACAGAGGCAGAAAGGCTGAGGACAGGCAATCTGGGATGCAGCACTGCCCTTGCCTCAGGTATCAGAAGACCAACAGAGAAAGACAATACGAGTACGTGGACTGATAGGACATTAGGTTAAGACAAAGGACATCAGACTGTTGATGATGCACAATTTCCCTCAACATTAAGAGGGCCGAGGGAAGACACTTACTTGACGGGTGTAGAAAAGGCCACCTGTTGATGTCCTCGGCGTCCCTGTGTTCGTCGAGTCCTCTGCCTTCTGCAAGCCTCCTGGCTGGGTCACCAAGAAAGTGTGTTACTGGCACCGGTCAGCTCGGTGTAGTGGGGTCCCAGGTTCTTGGTCCACAGACACAAAAGAATTTGAGAATGAACACACAGCAGAAGTTTTAACAGAGGAAGATTTATTCGCAAAGTGACAGTACACCCCCAAGGGGAGGGGCAGGCAGGCTCGAGGGAGCATCTGCACCAAAGTTGTGGTGGTCAGTGGTTTTAGAATGTTGGCCCGGTGGTGGGTGAGGGTCTTGGAACGTGTGCCAATCTGGGCATCGTCTCCACCTTCACGTCGGGGGCGGCGGGGGGGGAGGTTTTTTCCTTACATAGGCATCTCTGGAACTGTCATGGCAGTGATACCCCGCAGGGGGGTCAAAACCACAATGTAAATGAGGGTATAATGAGGCTTGGGGCTACTCTCGGTCAGGGTTGGGGGGAATCCTGCATATCAGAAGAGTTGCTGCCCAGCAATTAGGATGCTGCACCTGATGGAGTGTCCTTGCTCCCAGCTCATATCTAGCTTTCTGCCTATCTCACTGAGGGGCCATACAGCAAGTCAGTGTTGGAGCTGGGGTTTGGATGGGTTCCCGGGTGTTCAGCACTGAACAGAAGGCAGCTAAAGACAAGGCTGGAGATGAAAATGAATTAAAAATTCCTTTTCCATGGAGTGATTACATCACACATCTGAGCAGATCAATACTCAGGAAAGCCTAATGCGGAAGCCCTGGGGTGAATGTCACATTGGAAAAAAGGTGACTTTGCTCCTGGGAGATGTCAAATAGACACTATTCTGAAATCCTTTCAACCACTCCTCAGGCAGCCCTGCATAGGGAACATAACATGAAAGCTCACAGTGCACGGTCAACTGTGCCATCCCATTACTGCTCTCCTAAACTGTGGGGCCATTACTGACCCCATTTTACCCTATTTACAGATTGGTAAACCGAGCATCACTGGGAAAGCAAGGATGGCACACAGTCATACAGCAAGTTCATAAAAAGGCTGTAAATGAAAACTATGTTGTCTCATCGTTAGCTGTCAATGAACATTTATTGGACTACTGTGTCCCAGGTGCCAAGTTAGTGATGGGGAGAGAGTGGTGAAGAAAACAGGGGTAGTGCCAGACTTGAGTGAGTGAGGAAGCCCGGTAGGAAGACAGATGTTGAGCAAAGAATTGGGAATAAGTGATAATGGTAAGCAGTGCCCTAATGAAGGAATACAGGAAGCTACAAGAACAATGACAGAGAGCTTGCCTGATGGGCATTTGCTTTTGTTTTCATTGTGGGGAATGTAGCCAGGGAAGGCTGCCCAATGATGTGTATTTTAGCTCAGACTTGAGGATGGGTAGAAGGAAGTGGGTTGGAGAGGGCCCCCAGCATAGAGAACAGGGGGATGCAGGGCCCCTCAGGGTGAGGGGCAGAACTGGGGGGCCTTTGTTAGGAATCTGCAAATCATCCTGACTCTCTCCATCACAAGCCTTCTCCCCGCCTTGGCCACCTGAAGCTGTGGGTGATGGCAGCTGAATAGCTTCCAGGGTTGTAATATGCAAGACTCCTAGGCTATGTTCCTGCCAAAGATACTCACTTTTCTCACTATACCCTAATTGCAAGCTTTCCCTCGGCTCTGTTTCCTCTTTCACCTCCTCTGAGTCTATGTCCTGCTCATTTTTATATTGCAGACACTCATCAAATAACGTGGTAAGCTCAGGAAGGAGACCAGAGAAACCATCAGATAGGCATATCATGAGGGACGATCAGGAATGACCTCTTTTGACTGTGGATATGCAAACAGCAAACATTTATTGAGCACCTACAGGCATTGAACACAGCAATTTGCAATTATTATAACTGCAGTGAGATCAGCCCTAGACACAGAGTAACTGTCTCTCTGAAATGGACTCATTTCTCAGCATAGAATTCCAGATCCCCTTTCTTTATTTTCCCTAGGGAGATTTTAAGTGAGTCTTTACAGCTCCTCTCACATTTTTTCAAATGAAAGGCACTAAAGTGGATGTTGACCCGGAAGTGGAGGCATGGAAATATCTGGGGTCCTTGCTGGGGCAGGCAGGCCAGGCCTGCTTAGAGTGACTCTTCACCATTGGGCCAGCTGCTAAGGCCAGGCCAACACTAAGGATGCAGTGGGATTGGGCCTCATTGCTCCCATTTTGCCTCCCAATATGCAGTGGTGTTAGACCTGCGCAGAGCCCACATGTTTCTGTGAAAAGAGCTTCTTCTTCTTCTTTTCTTCTTCTTCTTCTTCTTCCTCTTCCTCTTCCTCTTCCTCTTCCTCTTCCTCCTCTTCTTCTTCTTCTTCTTCTTCTTCTTCTTCTTCTTCTTCTTCTTCTTCTCCTCCTTCTTCTCCTTCTCCTTCTCC